AAAGTTCTAAAGAAAAATAACGTCAAAACCAGATGTACCACTTGTCCAAAAATATCTCAATATCTTCATCCTGTCAAAGACAAAATTCCATTTGAGATGCCAAGAGTTCCAAGCGCATGCGGCAAAGAATACATTGGAGAAACCCGACGAAAAATATCAACTAGGCCCAAAGAACATGAAAGAACATTAAGACATAAATAAACTCATCAGCACACTATAAGCAACCTGAACAATCTTAACCGCGACTCGGGTCTCTACGTGTCACCAATATGGGAATCAGTCATGCGAGGCGGTGTTTATGCCTCTCATTCAACCCCGCCCCCAATATACGAGCAGGTACAGAGAGAGTTTCAGTCAAGCTCTGAAGAAGCCATCAGGATGATTGACGAAACGTCAGCAATTTCGACTCAATAAAAACCGACGCCGGAGGAATCCAGAAGTTTTATAAAAAGTAGGATATTCTTTCTATTAGCTAATGTATAGAAGTTACTTTCGAATTGGGTTCAAAATCACATGGAAGTACATGAACAAAAGTGATTTAAATGCGAATGAAGTTTACAAGTCTTGTAAACATATTAAAAGTATATATTATTAAAAAGGGATAGGTTTCGACGAAACCATCCGTTGGGAAAAAGTTGCTGCCAGAAAATATCTTCATCCGCATCACTAAATCATAAAACAACTGCCAAGTTAAATGGTAATAAATCATTTGTGCGGCGTGATAGACAGAGCAACTTTTTCTTTAAACAATTGCGTTAGACGGTTAATGGCGTCCGAGTCCGTTAGTTATAATATTTAAGTAACGTTTTTGCCTACACTTAAAACGCCGAGACCGCAAAACTGTATTTTATCCGGCACTGTTTTGTCGAAAAACCGCAATTGACGATCAATGTAAACGAAGCAACTCCGATAAAACCGATATTGTTCACCATTAAAAACGCTTTGGTTCCACGATCTTTAAATTGTTCAATATTTTTGCTAAAAAGATGCCTTTACTATACACGGTGTATCCATTTCTGCGTTCAATACTCATAAAACGTAGTTTCTAGCAAATCGAAATTAAAATCTCCTATGATAATGTTTCTTCCCGTAAAATCGATCAGTTCATCCAAATTTGAAAGATAGTCCAAAAATTTAACATTTTCCAACTGTGGAGGGTAATAATATTTTGACCCAAATAGCAGTATCTCCACAGACAAAATCCATACATAATTCTGTAGACAAGATACATTCTCAAATTTGTACTTTACATCATACCTTATGAATGCTATTACTCCTTCAATTCTTCTATTATGGGTATCAATACACAACTCACTGATACATGAGTTTCAGACAAAAACACTGCTTTTGGTTTCCAGTCATTAATAATAATCATTATATCGTCTTTATTGTTGAGATATCCCTGACAATTAATGTAAACCACTCCGGAACTTAAGGCGCTATTAGTGTCTAATTGTTATTTCATAAATTTATTGCGTACGATCAAAATTTCATTTCAAACTATAAGGTTGTTCGGAAAGTCATTTCGTTTTTTCCCGTCAGAGGACTTAATTACGTTTTTTCGAAACCAACTTCACACTTAAGCCGCATAACCATTATATGTCTTGAGAGCTGATATTGCAAGGCTTGTGTGTGAAAAAGTCCTATTAATTCTACGCAGTAGTTTTTGGTTGGTGCCCTTTTAAATATGGAGAGCAATAAGCAGCATTTTCGTCATATTTTACTTTTTTACTTCAGAAAAGGTAAAAATGCTGTCCAAGCGAGAAAAAATTGACGGATGTGTATGGAGAAGGCGTGTTAACAGAACGCCAGTGCCAGAACTGGTTTGCAAAATTTCGATCCGGCAATTTTGATGTCGAAGATGCACCACGGTCTGGAAGGCCGGTCGAAGCTGACAAAGATGCGATAAAGGCATTAGCTGATGCAAATCGGCGAATAACCACACGAGAGATCGGTGAGAGATTAAATTTGTCGAATTCGACTGTTTATGGCCATTTGAAAGGCATGGGCTTAACCTCGAAGCTCGATGTGTGGGTGCCCCATGTCCTTACGGAGCGAAACTTGTGTCGTCGCGTTGACGTGTGTGATTCGCTCCTCAAACGTCAAGAAAATGATCCATTTTTGAAGCGGATTATTACTGGGGACGAAAAATGGGTTGTATACAACAATGTTAAACGCAAGAGGTCATGGAGCAGAAAAGGTGAACCGGCTCAAAGCGTGTCAAAAGCCAACATTCACCAAAAAAAGTGATGCTCTCCGTTTGGTGGGATGTCAAAGGAATCGTTTTTTTTGAGCTTTTGTCGGACAATACAACGATTAATTCAGAAGTCTATTGTCATCAACTGGACAAATTGAATGATTCACTTAAAGAGAAGAGGCCCGAATTAATCAACAGGAAGGGTGTAGTGTTCCACCAGGATAATGCGAGACCTCACACAAGTTTGGTCACTCGCCAAAAACTTTTACGGCTTGAATGGGATGTACTGCAACATCCACCATATTCTCCAGATCTGGCGCCTTCCGACTACTATTTGGTCCGGTCCCTGCAAAATTTTTTGGATGGCAAAACCTTTACCTCAAATGAAGATGTCAAAAACCACCTGAACCAGTTTTTTGCCGGCAAGGACCAAAACTTTTATGAGAGGGGAATTGTGTTACTGCCAGAAAGATGGCAAAAGGTGTCGGACCAGAATGGCCAATATATAATTTAATAAAATATTTATTCATTATACGAAAACTGTCTTTCATGTTCCCCAAAAAAAACGAAATGACTTTCCGAACAACCCAATATATTTGTTATTGGCTTCTACACAATTTGGACACTTAAATTCATTACTTGCGCAGTCCTTTATGTCAGGTTCACCACTGCATTTTGGACATAGTTTTTTATCCTTACACTTTTTAGCCAAATGACTATATTTACAGAATTTAAAGCATCTAACAATTCCATAATCATTGCAAATTGTAGAACGATTCCAGCCAATATTCATCATTTTTCCTTGTTCCATTAAAGTTTGGTACGTATTTAAGTTCACTTCAAAAATAATATTAAATCTTCCCTTAGCTCTAATACTGTCATATTGAAAACAAATATTATAAAATTAATCTGACGTGAAAACAAATACAAAAAATTATAAACGATGATTGATTAAATTATAAATAATAATTTAAGAACAAAAAAATGTAAATAAAGAGAAGATTAAAACTGGTTTTTGAGTTTTTTGTTCAATGACGAAAACTTCTTAACATATTTGTTTTCAATGACTACAAACATTTTTCTCTGGAGTCACACCATTGTTCGAATTCTAAATTACTTAACATATGTGTTAACTTTTTGTAGAGTCCATATGCTTCCAATTCGAGCATACTTCGTTTACTGTACAGGTATTTGATTTCCAAATCCAACCATTTTTCTTTTGCAAGTTTTTCAACTCTTTTGGCAACAAGAGATGAATTTGTTACGGAAATGTTTACAAAATTTGGGAAAACTGAATGTTTTTTACAGGATTTTTGAAACCAAATATCTGCTCCTATTAACCTAATCTTAGTGCTAACCTTATCGTATAAGTTAAGTTCCGTTGACCGTGAAGCCATCGTTATCGAACTCTTGACTGGAACCTTCGGTTTCTCCAACCAAGTGGGCATCTTCAGGAGAAGATTAAAACTCAAGATCAAGCATGACGGCTTTATATCAAGGCTTATCCCAATAGAAACGTTTCATCTGCTAAGACATTCATCAACATAAACAGAAGACTTGATGATAGAGGATCATTCAAACCTGGTAATATGAATAAAGGGAGCCCAAGGTATAAGAGACCAGAGGCAGAGAGCTATACGAGGGAGCCATTATTTGCTTGAAGAGGTACCCTTGCAGTGGAGACAGGCATGTGATCAATGCAAGATGACGCTCCACCGCAGTTTGCATTTGCTTTACGAAGGTATTTAAATCAGGCATTTGAACATCGATGGATAGGACTTCTAACTTAGCCGCCTCGCTCTTCAGACCTTGCTCCGATGGACTTCTTCTTTGGTGGTCTTTAGTTAGTTAGAAAGTTAACAGATATCAATGATCTACGACCAAAAATTATAAACTCTTGCGAAATCATTAGGAATAGGCTAGGCTGTTCGACTGCATCTTTAAAATGTATGAATGTATATAAAAAAAAATTGTTGAAAATGTTCTAGGTAAAGTGCCCTCTAGTGACAGATTTTTGAAACACTTTTATTTGTAACGATGACTTTTACTAAATGTGTGTAAAATACCAGCTTATTCCGTTAAGAATTAAGCCTACTGCGCTAAAAATAAGATTTAAAAAAATGAATTTTGACAATCTATAACTCGGAAAATATTACGATTACGATATGCTACCATTATTTTACCGCGTTGAATCTTTCCTCCGAGTTTCCGAACTCAATTTGCGAACTCCTGTGTAGTAATTTTCCGAATAACCTTTTATAAACTTTTATTATAACTCTTAAGCTGTAAGGCTCCGGATGGTCCTAAATAACATTTCAGTGTTCTTTGACAATACTATACAATTATTTTATCGTTTTAAGGGTTATTAGCGGTTAAACGTCATTATAGAATATTTTTTTTCAATTTGTAGGAATCACGAAAAACAAAACTTTTATTTACGATAACTAGTAAGATCCATCCATCAAAATTTTTGAAAATTACGTGGTAATTATTTATTTCTTCTAAAACATTAAAAACTTTGGTCATTAATCTAGTTACTTTTAGGTAGTCCTCAACACGAAGCTGTTGTAATTTTCAGAAAAAATCGCTCAAAAAACTGTATCAGTTGACTATGAATTTAGGCCATGCTATTCGAGTTGACCTTGACCTTAGGTTTCATTAAGCAAAGCAAGGTTTGAGTGAATTTTTTGAACAAATATATTCGTCTTATGGCGAGATCAGGAAACTATGAGAGTTAAAAAGTATAAATTATTACATATACATATTGGGATGAAATGTGGAATGAAAGCGTTAAGGTACATACCAAGTAACAATCGATTGGCTTTTCTCTGTTCATCTTGTACGATTTCTGTAGTTCCGTCTGCTTGAGCGCGTGCGCTATGTGCAAGGCACTAGCATCGAACCTCCCATATTGGTATCCTGGCGAACTGTCGTGGTTTGCGTAGGTGGTGGGGCTGTAGCTGTGCCGGTCGCCATATGGGGGTGAATAGGCTTGATGCGAATTACCGTTGACCTGCGTACGGACGTTTATGGCTAGAAAAAAAAACTCGTGTTTATTTAAAAGTTGCAGGAAAAAAATAAGAAAAGTGACCATTGATTTTTGTGGGTTAAAACACAACAGCTGCGCAAATATAAATATCGGAAGGTTTTATTTTTCTGATTTTAGATTGACTGAAATCGAACCGAAGCTAAACATACACGATTGAGAACGTTTTACAATTACAACTTTGGGAACTTTTGACTTCATTTTCTTTTTTGTTGTAGAAACTACTGATCAGAAAAAATATTTGCTGTTTCAAAAACAATTTAATATAAGACAAATAAGAACTAAAAGTTCAGATTTGACCATAAAACCTTAATTAATGTTGTGAGAATTTAAGTTCAATAAAGGAGAGGTATTTAAATCTAATTGAGACATTTGAATGTCCCATTTTGTTAATCTCCATGGCTTCCAATAAATTTATTTTTTTTACTTTTTGTAACTGTATGTAAAATATCAAAATTATCGTCAAAAATGTGTTTTTCTGTGTTTAAGTGTGTAGTATAATTAAAATCTAGCCTATTGTTTTTTAACGCTCTTTTGTGTTCGTTAATGCGTTTCTTGATTCTTGAATTTTAGGACAAGATCCGCATTTCAGATTCCGCAGATTTTTATGGATAATTTGGAAAATATCATACTAGAACATCCTTTAAGTAAAAGTTTTCTATGATGGTATAGATACGTACTTTTTAAGAGATTAAACAGGAAAACTCTATTAATTTTTTAGTCTAACTACATTTGATTCTCTTTTAATGCGTTTAAAAAAATGTGGTGGTTATATGAACTGCAGGCATTAAGTCAAGAGCTACGATGCCTTCTGCTCTAATATAAGGCATATAGGGACTAGGAGGCATTATAGCTGAGCTGACTGAGGTGACCTCTGAAAGATGACACTTAGGTAGTGAAAAAAAATGCCTATATTTCCTTCCAATCAAACTTCATCCGAAAATAACGGAAAGCTTCCTTAGAAAAACATAATTACGTAAATAAAAATGTCATTGCTTAATTTAGTCGGCTCATCAGCGAAGACACTAAAGTTAACATTAATTTTACTCGGTGCGGTAGTAAATGATCGCGCGTATCCCAAAGCAATATCCGCAAAATAAAATGCGACAATGGAACAGTCGCAACGCAAAAGGTAAAAAGTAATAATAAAATATTTCGAATCAACCGGCACCGGTTCCCAGGCCGTCTGTCATAAAAATGTTGTTAAAGAATGTGCTTAATAAGTTCTCGAATAAAAAGTGTTTACCGTTTGTTGAACCAAGGTTGCGTTACGACCTATATTGCCCGATTTGCATTGAAACTGTAACAGTTGCGGCGTCAACCTTTAAATGAGAAACAGAATAAGATCTACTGCATTTATATGGTTCTTAACCAATAAAATTAAGGACGATAATTGTTTTCGCTGATGTGGCTGAAGTTAGATTATTATTAAAAAAAAATCTTGTTTATATGCCGGGTGAGTAAGCACGGAAACATTGTAAGGGAACTCGCAAAAACCATATTCAATGTTGCTATATAGAAAATAACACCTATTTCGCAATCTCGAAAAAATCACCTCAAAATCGTCGGAAATATATAAAACTACTCCCAATAAAAGTCGCCACTATCGAAGTACGACATTTGCGCACAAATTTGAACTTTTGGAATTGATAAGGGTTGCGTATACGTTCGAGTATAGGGAACGCTTACTATTCTATAGGGGACTAAATTAGGAGCAAAAACAATAAGAGATAGGCATATATACCCTTTGAAAATTAACTTAAAATTGACTATAGAAAAAAAAAGATGAAATATACAGGGTGTGCAACTTAACATTTTAAACATCACAACCATTTGAAACCGAATTTTAGCGCATCTCATAATTGGGGGTGGTTTTATATATTCCCGACGATTTTGAGATGGTTGAGTAACGCATCGTTTTGAAGCTGTCCTAAGTGGATCTTCAATAGTCTAAGTGAATACTGGGACAACATCAGATTTTTTTGAGATTTCGAAATAAATGAAAAGAATTTTATGGTATCTCAATATTGGGGGTAGTTATATATCTTTCCGACAGTTTCAAGGTAGTTGAGCAATACATCATTTTGAAGCTCTCCTAGGTGGCTCTTCAATAGTTTAATTGAATACTGGGAAAACATCAGGTTTTTTTGAGATTGCGAAATAAATACATCGAACTTTTGTTTTACATCTTCCCGACGCTTTCAAGGTGTTTGTCAGAATTTTTTGAGATTCCGAAATAAATAAAAAGAATTCCATGGTATCTTATTATTGAGGGTAGTTATATTTCTTTCCGACCGTTTCAAGGTGGTTTAGCAATACATCGTTTTGGAGTTCTCCTAAATGGGTCTTCAATGGTCTAATTCAATATCTTACACAACTTCAGATTTTTTTTGAGATTCCGAAATAAATAAAAAGAATTCCATGGTATCTCATTATGATTGTAGTTATACATATTTCGGACAGTTTCAAGGTGGTTGAGCAATCATTTTGAAGCTCTCCTAAATGGCTTTTCAATAGTCTAATTCAATATCTTACACAACTTCAGATTTTTTCGAGATTCCGAATTAAATAAAAAGAATTTTATTGTATCTCATTATTGAGGGTAGTTATATATCTTTCCGACAGTTTCAAGGTGGTTGAGCAATACACATCATTTTGAAGCTCTCTGGAGTGGCTCTTCGATGATCTAATTCAATATCTTACACAACTTCAGATTTTTTTGAGATTCCGAAATAAATAAAAAGAATTTTATGGTATCTCATTATGATTGTAGTTATACATATTTCGGACAGTTTCAAGGTGGTTGAGCAATCATTTTGAAGCTCTCCTAAATGGCTTTTCAATAGTCTAATTCAATATCTTACACAACTTCAGATTTTTTCGAGATTCCGAATTAAATAAAAAGAATTTTATTGTATCTCATTATTGAGGGTAGTTATATATCTTTCCGACAGTTTCAAGGTGGTTGAGCAATACACATCATTTTGAAGCTCTCTGGAGTGGCTCTTCGATGATCTAATTCAATATCTTACACAACTTCAGATTTTTTTGAGATTCCGAAATAAATAAAAAGAATTCCATGGTATCTCATTATGATTGTAGTTATACATATTTCGGACAGTTTCAAGGTGGTTGAGCAATCATTTTGAAGCTCTCCTAAATGGCTTTTCAATAGTCTAATTCAATATCTTACACAACTTCAGATTTTTTCGAGATTCCGAATTAAATAAAAAGAATTTTATTGTATCTCATTATTGAGGGTAGTTATATATCTTTCCGACAGTTTCAAGGTGGTTGAGCAATACACATCATTTTGAAGCTCTCTGGAGTGGCTCTTCGATGATCTAATTCAATATCTTACACAACTTCAGATTTTTTTGAGATTCCGAAATAAATAAAAAGAATTTTATGGTGCCTCATTATGATTGTAGTTATACATATTTCAGACAGTTTCAAGGTGGTTGAGCAATACATCATTTTGAAGCTCTCCTAAATGGTTCTTCAATGGTTTAATTCAATATCTGGGACAACGTCAGATTTTTTTGAGATTTCGAAATAAATAAAAAGAATTTTATGGTATCTCAATATTGGGGGTAGTTATATATCTTTCCGACAGTTACAAGGTGGTTGAGCAATACACATCATTTTGAAGCTCTCTTGAGTGGCTCTTCGATGATCTAATTCAATATCTTACACAACTTCAGATTTTTTTGAGATTCCGAAATAAATAAAAAGAATTTTATGGTGCCTCATTATGATTGTAGTTATACATATTTCAGACAGTTTCAAGGTGGTTGAGCAATACATCATTTTGAAGCTCTCCTAAATGGTTCTTCAATGGTCTAATTCAATATCTGGGACAACGTCAGATTTTTTTGAGATTTCGAAATAAATAAAAAGAATTTTATGGTATCTCAATATTGGGGGTAGTTATATATCTTTCCGACAGTTACAAGGTGGTTGAGCAATACACATCATTTTGAAGCTCTCTTGAGTGGCTCTTCGATGATCTAATTCAATATCTTACACAACTTCAGATTTTTTTGAGATTCCGAAATAAATAAAAAGAATTTTATGGGGCCTCATTATGATTGTAGTTATACATATTTCAGACAGTTTCAAGGTGGTTGAGCAATACATCATTTTGAAGCTCACCTAAATGGTTCTTCAATGGTCTAATTCAATATCTGGGACAACGTCAGATTTTTTTGAGATTTCGAAATAAATAAAAAGAATTTTATGGTATCTCAATATTGGGGGTAGTTATATATCTTTCCGACAGTTACAAGGTGGTTGAGCAATACACATCATTTTGAAGCTCTCTTGAGTGGCTCTTCGATGATCTAATTCAATATCTTACACAACTTCAGATTTTTTTGAGATTCCGAAATAAATAAAAAAAATTTTATGGTATCGCATTATTGATGACAGTTATATATCTTTCCGAACGATTTAAAGTGGTTGATTAATACATCGTTTTGAAGTTCTACTAAGTGATTCTTCAATGATCTGGTTGAATCTCTGGGACCGATTTTTTTCGAGATTGCCAAATCGTAATTAAATTATTTTTTGCGGACATGCGATCGGAACAGGGGTTATTTTCTATATAGCAACATTGGATATGGTTTTTGGGAGTTCCCATACAATATATCCATGCTTACTTATCCAGCGCATACACAGGGATATGCTTTTTTAATTAAGATAATTAACGAACTGGTCCACTGTAATATTTGCAAATCCAAATCTAGCTTCAGCCACATTTCTCGCTGTCTAGATTATCGTAAAGATTTCACGCCGACGCTTTCGCATTTTCATTAAGCTGTTATAAACGTTCGGCAAATATCTCGCACGAGGTGCGAAAAGTAAGGTCGTTTAGAACTCGTTACTAAATTGTGATATAATAGTGGCAAGGTGACGGCTTGTTTACACTGCATGGAAGCATTTGTGACGATGTAATTTATAATAAATTAACCTGACGGAGGCGCAA